AACTCCTCCCTGCCTGTTGACACCCACTCACCCGCCCTCTTCTTCTTCTTCTTCCCCCTACTTTTGTTCTGTCTGGGTAAGTTCCACAAAAGATAATTTCCTTTTCAAATTACAGCAGGCCTTTTCACTGACCCGAGGGCATTGTGATAATGCAGTGTGGGAGCTGAGAGCGTCTCTGATGAGAGGCAAGAGCAAATGCACTGGCCAGCACTAATGTCTTGTCAACATCATACGTGCAAACAGCACCTATAGAGGCAGCTTAGGACTTGCTGAGCACACTCAGATTCCTCCACAGCAGTTTGGGTACAGAAAAAAAACCAAAGAAACAGTATGATTAGCTGACATTTGCTTCTCACAGAGGTCGGTGGTGGTGCACTTGAAAGTAGAGTATGGCTTCCTGTAATCAGGCAGAAAAAAAACTTTGGCTAAGAAGCGGCAACAGAATGTGTGAATGACTTGTCGAAGCAGCTTGCGGGTCTGTGTTGTGATTCATGGGCTAATTCCCTCTCAGTCCAGTCAGGCATGAGAAACACAGAGAGGAGGAGGTGTCAGGTACAGCGAGGAATACTTTGATATTAGAATTCAAGGCATCTACGTCTTGCCTTGAGCAGGATAATCCCATTATGCCTCAGGTCACAGCAGTGCACACACAGAGAGAGGCACAACTCACTTCAAAATAAACTGCTTACAGTTGACAAGAATAACACAAACAGCCATCAGAAATAACATCAAACTCCGACCAAAACTGAATTAGAACATCCAATTTAGCGGAGAAAAATAGCCGAGATATTGAAAAGAGAGAATAACACAATTAGACTTTTTTTTAAAAAGCCGCAAAGTTTTTCCAGACAGACTTTTACAGTTCATCTGGGGTGTTTTTCAAGATCGAGCGGTTTTCATTACAGTCTGTCAGCTTTCATTATGAAATGAGAAAATCTAATTTTGCTTGGTGTATCTGACAGTTTTTCAAACTAATTCATCCTGTCAAGATAAAGCTCTGGCAAACCCACCAGATGGTGTTTGTGTAACTGAGAGCTTTGTTTTCACTGTGCACATTTCGTAAAGTGCAGGACCTTTCTTGATTTAGAACTAAATATTCACCGTGTTCTGTTTCTGTTTTCTTTGGGAGAATAAAAATTGTCTCAATCTCACCAATCTCTGATTACTATCTTGTTTGATTCAGATAAGCCTTAAAGACAAACAAATTGGTTGTTAGCACTCTCACATCATACTGACTTATTATTTCATTAATTTTAGATATTACTAACATTTAAGAAATGCCACAAATAGAAAGCTGCAATTCTAAGATAGGGTTGAGCAGCAAATTCTGGTCTAATATTGGCCTTGCAATAAAAAAATTGTAAAAAAAAGACTGGTGAGTCGGTCTCATCCACTTCCAGTAAGACATGAGCTGCTCCCTGACCACAGCTAGAAAATGCCATTTTACTAATATTATTTTCTCCGTCAGATGGCTGACCAGGGAATTTATTCCAGGAGGGGTTAGGGGAGGATTTAAATCAACAGCTTCAGAGGCATCGGTCTGTAAAAATTGCAATGGAACCAGCTATAAGCTAATAACCTACATACCATAACACACCTCAAAGAATTCCATTAGAAGGAGATACACTGGAGAAGTTTAATGTGCAGGGTGATTTAAATGCAATTTCTGAGGTATTTTCCCTGCAGATAAGAAGAAAAATAGGGATGATGCTGAATAATTTGACAGGATAATTGCAGCATTTAAAGAGAATTCAGCACAAAAACGAAATATTATTGGCTGCAGCAAATTTCCTCCCCCCGACCCCCTCCCCACTCCCCACAGATATTAGAGTGGCATTAGAGGTGTTCAAACAAATCTTCAAAATTAACTGCATACACTGAACCACCAGAGTCCCTGAATGAAAAAGTAGTTTTTAGCAGTGGCAGTGATGATGGAAAACATCATTCTCATCCCAGCCAGGATTCATCGCACTTATTCAGTTGTTGAAAGCTTATTAAAAGCACACAAAACCAATCGTGATTTGAAAACTCTGCCACAAACAGTTGGGGGTTAAGCCAGAAACCTTACAACTAGTGCTTGTGTAGGCCTGGTTAATGCCGTGCTCAGGCTGACGTCACCCTGTGTGGAAAAGAAAAAGAGCGAACTCTCAAATAACACCAGCTTGGCTATGCAGCGGGGGTGCCAGGGCTTTGGCAGAAAAACCCAGGGTCACAAATGTTTAGCATCGCTCATCATTTGTTGCACTGAACTGTAACACATCGTCATCTTGCAAGGCGCTGCTTTCACTCACTCACATTCTGTACATGCAAGCGCACATTCCCTCTGGATTACTTTTACAAGGTCACACCGTGTTTTCATGTTAAAAAATGCAATCACACACAACAAAAGATACGATGACTTAAGGCTTGATAACTTCCCACAGTTGCAAAGCTCCTTTCAGAAAATGATATTCTAAACTGCTCTGCATTGTTTTTGGCATCTGTAAAGCTTTCTTTCTATTCAGGAAGATGATTAAAAGAAAAATATTTTAATTTACTATGAGGAGCATTTATCTGAGGGGATGCTCTGTGCGACCCCTGGTTTCTCAGAATCTCATCAATGAAAGGGGGGAATGAAAAGTAAATATGCCAAAATGAAATAAAATGAAATTATGCTTTAATAAAGTAATGCATCTATCAACCTACCTACCTACCTACCTACCTATCTATCTATCTCATCCATTATCTAAACTCGGATTCCTACTTCAAATTTCCCAACTAGTTCCAGAACGGTGCTTAAGACTGAACTTACTCAAATTTTAAACTCACATATTCACTGATTATAAAATAGTCCATTTGCAAAGCGTCAGTGTCAATCTTCTGATCTAAAGCTCAGCAGAAAAAACTGAGCGGGCATATTTTTCAATTTGTCCAGTTTTTCCTTTAAACCCCTGAGCTGATAATGACAGAGAAGATAACCGGATTGAGAGTCACGGGGGTTACAGGTGTTCTCTGCCTGAATAACAGGTGACATCTACAGTAAGTGATCCGTGTCCAATGCCAAACTCATCCCATGCGCATCCTGTCCAACTCATTTTACTGCTGAGAAGTGAAATGCAGAAGCCAATAGTGGTACACAAAGTTGTCAAGCAACCAAACCTCAAATCCGCTCTGTGGTTTCCAAACACGCAGAATGCATTTCCATTCAACTTTTGTGAAGGTCTTTTATGGCAGAGCAACAAAACCCAGAGGAGCGATGGTATGAAAAGATCTTTCATTATTAATAGAATATTAGCCCACATAAAGGTGAATGACTGAAGGATTGTGTTTCAACACTGCAGGGGCTGTAAAGTGCACAGAGGTTAATTCTCTGATCCAAGGGTAGATTTGTATCATTGTTTGTAGATATAAAGGGGTTTTTCCAGGGGATTGGATTCATGTCTTCTCTCTCTGTTCCTCGGAGCACTGTGGTAGATTGCCTGGTCTGATTAATCTTAATGAATTATGCAAATAGCCTTTATCTCAAATGATTTAGCAATGTTTCTGTATTGTTTTATTAATGCACTTTTGAATTACTCTGTATAATCACGTAGCCTTTCCTCAGCCATTCGCTGTTTGTAATTCATCGCCAGCTCTTTATTAAATCCATGGTGGTCTCCGGCGAATTGCATGCAGGAATGAGAAATTAGTCATTACTGTAATTTAATGATTTCTAACCAAACAAGAGGCAACCTGGATCGCTAACCATAGCAACCCCCCGCACTGCTCCCCTTCAGCACCAGTCCCACGGGTCTGATCTTTGGGAGCGAGCCTTCTACATTTTTGCCTAATTAATTGTGTTTAGTATAAGAAGCATTCTGCAGTGAATGTACTGTTTCAATTACAGACGGAAATTGACTTACAAAATATGAAACTCCCCTTAAAGCAATGGTTTGTTTGGAGTCTAGACGCCCTTATAATTGACTGAAGCTCTTTTAGCTTCGATGTGTGAATTTTATGCAAGTTTAGTGCCAACTGTGTTTTTGTTGCAGAAGGAAATTTCTCAAATTTCTTTGATTGTCATTCTTGTACAGATAGTAAGGTGACAGGCATAGAGAAAATTTACATTTCAAAAATATCTTATTATCATATCAGAGGAAGGGCCCCTGCATTATATACTGTGATTTCCTATCCCTAAGGTGTATGTCACATGCAGGTGAAACGTAAATAGATCCCCGACTGTTTTCTGGCTCCTCGCAGAAACCTCCCTCTAACCTGTTTGGCTTCCACAAAGCAGGGAATGGAGCTTTGATATCAGCAATGATAGCAACCAAATTATATGTGTCAAAATGGATGGACGTTTTATTTGTCCTTGGACCCCACTGATTCAGATGGCTAGCAAGGCTGCCAGGGCTAAATAATCCTTTTCTGTTCATCCATTATCTCTTCCACTCCACGCTATCCAGCCTAACTCCCTCACAAGGTTTATTTTCTATAAGCTTTTAAAGACACACAAGAACAATTCTTTCTAGATTTCGAACAGAAAATGCCTTGGGGGAAATTATTCGGACAAAGAAGGAAGGAAAAAAAAGTTGTATAGTTTGCTTGGTGATGGGTAGCATTCATTTACCGCAATAAATGCAGGCTTGGATGACACTGGCATCTAGCTTGGGAAATGAATCAAATAGGATTAGGGTTGTTTTGGGGTGAGAGCTAATTATCTATCTCTCCCTGGACCAGATTTCAGATGGCTTTTTGTGAAGTCTGTTCATCGTAAGAAAAACAGCGTGGTGAGATTTTTCCCTTTTGTATTTTTGAACATGGCCTATTTTTTTGCATCTGCTGATGTTCATATTTCAGTTCCACCATGCACACAATCTTGATCAGCTGTGAGCTCTGACTCCTACTTCTTTTTGTCAGATTATTTGCTTGAACTGCTGATGAAAGTCCCAACACCTCCTGCTGATTCAGCACTGTGACCTAGCATGCATACGACATTAACACGTTCCGTAAAAAAATCCAAATTTTACTTAGCAGTGATATCCATTTAGATAGATTTATTGAGATAATATCGACATTTGTAATGAATAGTAGTCACCAGGCTTTGAAAACAACAGATACCATTAAAACATGTTGGCAGAACTTAGCTACGTTGACCCTTGGTGACTTGTAGTCAAACATCATTACATTTTTTTCTGGGTTGTATTGTTGTGGCATCGTCTTTTGTCTTTGAAAGGGAGACTTGACGTTGTAACAAACGAAAAGAAGCCAGACAGTTTTAAATCAACAAAATAAAAACAAAAACAGAAGCGATATCTGCTCCATAAGGCTAAAAGGAACAGAAATGCTTATTATCTCACGAGATCTTCAACACAGATATGCATCAAGAGTTCTGGGGCAAGAAAATAACACAAAAAGTTTCACATCACATAGTTTTGTTTCAAGGGTGATTTTTTTTTTTTTATCTGGTGTAATCCACAGTCTTTTAGTCAATAAATATCTTCATGGTTGAGTCCTCTAGTCCATAGCAATAAAACTATAATACAAAGAGAGATTTGGTGGGCAGTAGAGCTCAGAGACAGCTACTGTTGATGCTGGATCAAAGGTCAGGAATCTGTTTGGATATGTAGTCTTATATGGAGCTCCCTGGTCCGATTCCTCCATTTGTTCACTGGAATGTCCGTGATAACTGTCCTTGTTGGTCCCTGGTTTCCACCAATCCTCAGAACACATGATATCCAAATGTCCTACGATGTTGGTCAAAGAAATAGCGTCTGGTTCCAAATAAGGTTATCCTTACAACAGACGACTATCGGGTGACCTAGAAACACAGGGAAAGAAAAAAAAGAAGTGATATTGAATGGATGCTGAGGATTAAAAAGGAATTTGTCTGAATGATGATAACAAATAGCTGTAGTACTCGCAAAACAAGTTCTCTCTGACACTGAGTGAGACAGATCCTTCAGTAGGACAGACAAATAAAATCCTCTTTACTTTTCAAAGCTGATCCTTCTTTTATAGCCACCAAAAACTAAGATTTGACAAAAGAAAAACACTGAAATATGTGTAAAAATCTGTGTAACCAGTCTTTACAGTGTCCTCTATCTTTTAATGTCATAGTTTCTCTCCTATTACTACTACTACTCTATAAATCACTTCTAAGAGTAGGCATTCCTTCCTTCTCACCAAGGCTGCAATTAATGATCGATTAAAAAAAAATAAATAAATAAAATTGACCCTGTAAAATGTCATAAAAATCAGAAATGTTTACTTCAATTTTCTAAACACCAAACTGACATATTTAAACAGATTATTTTTATAATCCAAAATGCAATATATTCATTTTATTATAATAAATCTTGCAAATATTCAAATTTGATGGAATGAATTTCAATGAATTTCTTACTATTCATTGTTTATGTAGGTAATTGTTGACGACTATTGTAGCCACACTAACTCCAGGAGTACCAGTGTCAGTATTTTGATCCACCAATTTAACCCGTGCCAAAATATTCAATAATTGACAAAATGATTGTCTTGAAATTATTTTAAAACAACAAAATGCAGCTGCCAAAAACAAATACATGATCACATAATGCTAGTACTGGCCTCTCTCTGCTGGCTTCCTGTCTGTTTCAGGATTGATTTTAAGCTTTTATCACTTGCTTTTGAGTTTTAAAAATGGTTTGGCACCACCGTGTTTATCAGAACGCTTTGTCATACCCCTGTTAGAGCACTGAGGTCAACCAACTGGATGCTCTTGGACGTTACAAGATCTAGACACAAAAATAGAGGCAATCGAGGCTCCTAATCCCTGGAACATTTTCTTTTCTTGTGCTGAGAGCTTAAGAAGTCACTGGTAAAGGTTCACCTAAAAATTTTAATATGGCATTCTATCAAAGTCAAGCTGCATTTATCTTTTATTGTGTTGTATCTTTTTCTCCCCCCTGTATTTTATTGTTTTTTTTCAGATTTATCTTTTCGTCGTAGTGTTTATGTCGTATGGGTTGCTATTCATAATCATACAGAACTTTATTGCAATTCCTGTAATTTTCATCATAGCTCATTATTTTTGTCATCGTGAATATCAAATTAATATAAAATATAATAATAGTAACAGTACCTGCTAAACATCAGCAAGTTTGCACTTCACTCATGAGCATTACTACATGCTGATGTTATCATTTAGCCCAAATCACTGCTGTACACAAGTGTAACCTCAAAGAGCCATTAGCATGACTGCGGTCTCTTATCTGTGTGTTTGTTCAGCAACTAGCTGATTAAAAGACAAATCATTTCAGCTCTCGTTTAAATTGCAGCTTTCCTATCAACACAGGCTCTTATTTTGGTCCTGTTCGTCTCACAACGGTCTATCTGTCAAAAAACGAGGCAGGTTGGAGGTGTGCATATTCCCTGCTGGCATGTTTATAATTCAAACATCTGTGGTGTTAGTCCGGGAAAATTGAAAGACAGTGAGCAGCTCGAAGTCAGATGTAATGCAATGTACATCATGGTCAATGATTTCCATGCAAACACGGGCAATATTATTATTCATGGTGGCATACTGCTGGCATAATGTTCTCAGACCTTTTCATGAATATTAATCTAAAGGATTGAAAGATGCAGTTTGTACGACTCTCACTTTAAGCATAACTCTACTCTGGGAGGTGAATGTTGTTCCTCGTTGGTTTGCCCTTTAAAAAGTAGAACAGGAGTAACTTTTTGACTCAGTCTGTGATTTTGGAGGCCCTTTAAAAGGCACACAGACACACAGAAATAAGAACAGGTGTTCCTGTGCGACTATTTGTGAATTACTGTCATTTCGTTAGCAGCAAGTGAGGTCTCGCCAGTTGAATCGACGAGGGCTTTACCGCAACACAATCAGTGCTCTGAGCAACGCAATTCAAAAAATTTTGTGGAAGTGTGATTTTTTTCTGCTGCTTAGAGCTGCAGCTGATGACACAATGCTTGCTGTGTGGGGAGCCACAATTTAATTTTCACTTCTGTGTGACAATCCTCCGAAATCACGGGTGTGAGAGAGAATATGAAAATTGTTTGGTCTCACTACACTTGCAGTGGCAGGCTGTAGACACAGTACATTCATACATTTAATTAAACCACGTTATTTTGTCACAATGTTACAAGAGGCAGACTGGTGTATTTCTGGTGTGGACCAGTAATCGGTTTATATGGATTCACAAGCAGTTCCAGAATATTGTTCAGCTGATAAATGTTACGTACATGTACAAGATTTCTGTCATCATAGTTCACTTCTACATATATTCTTCTTGTGAAAGAAAGGCAAAAGCATGATGAGGCAAACAATTCCAACACATTCGTGATTGCAGCAGTAGCTTTTAAAGGGTATTTCACCTCAAAAGAAACAAGAAGAAAAAGCTTACACACACAAAACTGAGTAAACAAAATGCAGAAAGCGGAAAATGTCAGCAGAAACCAAAAACCTGAACCCCTGTGAAACCTTATCAAACCAATTAGCATGCTGCGGTGCCGTGGGTGTCACCGTGAGGGTTATCACTGAGCAAACACACAAAGGGGAATCAGCAGAACAGAAGGCAGCTCCTCCGGGTTAGACGCTTAAGTCGCCTCAGGATGAAAGACTACACTTGACTGGCCAGCTGTAGGTTAAAAGTCCAGTTGACAAACAAACTAAGACCCTAAGTTTGATGGAGAGCGTCTGAAGCACACGTGCCCGAGCATGCATACATCTGTGTGAGTCCAATACTCATCATTATCGACACAGAGCGGCAAAAAGAATAATCATCTCTGAATATTCACAGCTGTAATGCATGGCTCTAATTATTTCAGCTCTCACTGAGGTAGAGAGGACATTTTTTCAGTCCTCATTGTTGCTCTAAAAACACAAATTACATAGTCGATATCAGCTTCCAGCAATGTTTTAAAAAAAAAAAAACCCAAATCAATCACCAATAGAATGATTTAGCTCCTCTTAACAGGCTATCCATTGAATAAACATCTCACACCATTTTTCTGCCTCTTACCTCTAAATACCTCGCTTACTTTTTTACCCACATGCTGTTTTTAACTGAAATTACAGAGCTGAGAAATACAACCTAAAATCCAACTTCATTTAATTTCACCATTTAAAAAAAAAAAAAATCTAAAAAAATACAAAAACTACACAAACCATGGACAAAGCAAATGTGCACCTTCAAACAGCTAAATAGTATAATTACATAACCCCTGAAAACTCATCTGCTTTCATCAAAATAACAAATTTAGAAGCTTTTTCCATGAAATAAAAGGTCCTTCATACCTTAAAATGGCTTAGATGTAACTCCACCTCTTTGCCACCTTTAGTACCCCCACAAAATTCCTGAACCAGCCCTGCACTGCTCGCCTGCAGCTGGAGCACACCAGCTCACTTACAATTAATCTTAAACAGTGTAAAACTACTCTGCGCTACACAATGTCAAACTGTAGCATTGGAGCAATTTGGTCATTTATGCTTGAACCAGAAACTCAATCAAAAGAAGGACAACGATATGGAAATCACCAACCCACAAACAAATGAGATCTTTGATTTGTTAACTATAAAACCCCAGAAATCTGATGTGTCCATGTGTTTTTGGCTGTCACTCTACATAACTTCTTATTTCTTACATGATCCATCTTCATGCATGTAAAAACGCCATATGTCTATGTTACCAAGGTTAGGAAAAAAAAAACAACCTTGATTTTCATCAGATTAACAACAACTTTCAACAACAGGAGAGTCTATTAAACCACTTGGTATGGGATTCTTGGGAAGCAGAGGCACCTACAAGACAGATTTCTGTTCATGGCAGCAGCTCCCATAGCTTGGTTGCATACCAACAAACACAACTAGTGGTGTGTGAGTGTGAAAGCAGTGACGGATCACTTCACTGGTGGCTCCTATTGGTTGGTTTTGGCAGCTGGATTCTTGGAAGTGTGTGAAACAAACTTCAAACCTAAAAAAGAACTTGATTACCACTGTGTTATAGTATTACTATCAGGCAGCAACAGCACTGATCTGCATTTTGATGACATATAACTTCTATGTTTTATTCCATCTCTTGTTTGACTTACATTGTCTTAGCAATATAAATAGTTATTCTGAGTGTAAAATTGTAATCTAAAGAATAATAGTTTCCTCATATGGAGGTTAATTGTGGTCATAGAAGATGTTTGATTAAAGCTCAATTTCATGAACATACCACAAGTGAACTGCGCCTACAGGATGTTTCCAGAATGGTGAAGTGAGAATACATATATTTTACACAGCTGTAGCGCAGCAAATGCAAGGCATATTTTCATTATGTCTTGAAAAGAAATGTCTCTCAGACAGCTATCCATCACCAAAACTCAACTCACTCTCTGCAAGTGTCAGAGTACCTGTCAAGTGAAAAAGCTCTGTGGTTCTTTTGCCTTCTGTCCTCTGATTGATAGGAAGTGAAAAGCAGGAGCTGCTGGGGTTATAATTCCTGACATTACCAGCAGGACTATAAAACTAGCTGCTCTCGGACATGCGGAGAAAGAGGGAACAACTGGAGTTGTCTCAGAAGGGGCCTGGAGGGTGTTAAGATGCCTGATTTACTGATGTGACTTCATCATGAGGTGAAACGACATCATCATTTTTTATCAACAATGCCACGGTGAGACATCGAAGAAGAAAGGATTTATAGGTGCCGTATGAGGCGTGTGCTGCAAGTGAGGAGTGTGTTTACACCTGCCGTATCCAATAAAGGGACTTTTTAAAAAACATAATTTATCTCTTTTAAACATTCAAAACACAATATAGAGCTGCGGACTTTAGACTGGGGTCAATCTTAAAAAAGGATTATTTCATTCTTTTTGACTCCTGTAAATACACTTGACATATCATACACATAAACCCTGACATATTTGTCCTCATAAAGTTGTTTTTTAATGGTTCCTAATCTCAGTCAGTAAGCTATAAAATCACTGAAATGCAAATAATACTAATTTCACATAAAAGCAAAAGAAAAAGCAAAGAAAAACCAGACCAGCTGTGTGACAAATGCACGTTCTGAGAAGATTTTTTTAAAGACCTTATTTTTTATAAAGCAAAAAAAAAAAGTTTCTTGACCTCCTGCAACTTTCTAGTTAAGCTGTTCAAGTGTGATCCTCAAGTTCAAGTTGTGCTACTGAGTAAAAAATGTAACTATTCAGCAAATGTTCCACTATGTTTACCAGCTAGACACTAACTTTGTTTGCTGGTCAGTGCTGGACAGTCAAAGAACAGTGGGTCAAACAGCTTTTTTGCATTTTTGCAAAAAACAAACAAACAAAAAAATCAGCTGCCTGCTGCTTCTTAAAATGCATCATAGAAACTGTGAGACTAAGTCAAACAGCTAAACATACGGCCACAAAAAACCCAAAATAATAAGTTGAAAGACACTAAAAGCAATCAGAGGGTATTTTACATGCATGTGTTAGCTCTAAATGCCCTTTCACATATGTCATTATTTAATCCCTTTTTATCATAAAAACATGGATTACTGCAGCTTCTTTTCACAAAAAATCTGGATTTAAGACTTGGATCTGACTACTACAGGGCCACACTTACTTAAGACTTGAAATGATTAAATGAATTCAGGGCTCGGCTTGTTACACTGTTAAGGACGGGCCCTGAATAGCCCCATCATTTAAATATTGCTTGCTTTAGTGAATGAACATGGGCTCAGTTATATAAAAAACTTTCAGGTGCTGGTCATTTTACTAGTCAGCTTTAAGAGACCTAAAAAATGCCATTTAAAAGCTTGTGACTTGACAGAGCTTGCATATATTATATGTTTAAAAACAAAAACAAAACAAACAAACAAAAAAAAGTATAATATGTATCTTTAACCAAGGTTTTCTGTTAACCCGACTTGGAAACCAGGAATAATGGGTTTGATTTTTGTATCGTTGAATTTTTAAAGGGCTGCTCAAATTTAATTTGTTGGAATTTCTATTCAGAGAGTAAAGGGCTTTACAGAGACAGCCACAGCACGAACGCCACCCTTGAGAGCCTGGGCTGCATCCAGAGAAAGCCCTCTGCTCATTCCTCAGAATGATGTTAACTGTCCAGGAAGCTCGGATACAGAGCCCTCTAGCAAACACAAGCCGTCCCTCGCTGGCTCTCTGTGGGAGGCAGCAAGGCCATGAGCATGGAGCGACCCCCGCTGACTCCCTAATCAAAAAAGAGTCGAGGTTCTGACGGGTTCTACTAGCCACCTGGACCCCTGCTTGTCTGTGCCTCTGTTTCTGCTTTCCCGTGGCTGTGTGAGAGGGCATGAATTATTAACCCGGCAAAAATAAAAAGCTCTGCTTCATCCAGGCCTCCTGTAGCCATGAATAATGGAAGAGGCAGCTCAACTACAGGCGTTTGGTGAGTCAAACAGTGGACCGTGATGGATGGCTAAGGGCCTACTGTGTCCCCCTCCCTCCTCACCTACCATCCACTTCAGGTCTACCACACCCTGAAACCCAAAACACACGTCCAGATAACCTCTATTAATCTCTAGAAGTGCGAGAGCTCGAGCCCTCCTGCCCTGCTTCAGCACATCCCACTTGACAATTTTGCTTCCTGGAGGGATTTTTGTTTGTTTGTCTTTCTGCTGCCTTCGCTTCGCCTTTGTTTGGTTTCTCACTGGCACTTTTGAAGTCATATGCAAGCCTGTTCAAAGGCAAGACCCGACTCGAGCCTGCTCTCTTTTACCATTAATGCTTAAACCTTGAGGATGAGGTGGATGAATGCGAGCTGGATTTCTGCTCAGCCGTCAGCAACATTTTATGATTCCCCAGAGGCTGCAATTTCCAACATGTACCAATGAACTCACTGGTGCACAATCGAGGTTCCATTATGGAAGTGATAATTATATTTCTGTTTCCAAAGTACTCGTGTGCTATATACTTCCACATCTCATTTCTCACCTAAAGTGATGAGAGAGCATCTTGATCATTTTATTTCTATTTTTCTGCAGAATCTATTTATATACGATGTATTTTTTTTTCTCTCAAGGGAAAATGTATTATTGATCTTATCATCTTCAATATACATGATGCAACATCTTTTGGCCCTGCAATTCTGATTTTGTTGAAATTATGCAGCAGGTCCGTGCAGAAACAAGACAAATGTCTTGTTGCATATATTACTGTGGCACATCATGAATATTCACAAATAATTTTGACACTAAATATTCTGTTTTGTAGTTAGGCTCTGTCTTGAAACAAGCTCAGTTGTCAGCTAGTGATGAATACCCTGAATTTATTTCATGATGATTACACGGACATCACAGAAACGGCATCAAACTACATCACTTTTTAAGTGCCAATCCCTTTTTCAGTTAAATATGTGAGATTATAGCTCAATTGCCTTTGTTTAAACTACCTACTGTAGTTTACCTATAGTGAGTTGGTATATTTAATGGCCTTTCTCCTTGGTTTGGTTTAAAAAGACAGGAAAACATTTTTAAGTAAACCAAAAGCCATGTGAGAATGTTCACTCAGGTTGTTTGTAAGATGCATCTGGTGCAGAAGCGAGAAAGTAAAATAAGCAAGAAAGAAAGAAAGAAAGAAAGAAAGAAGCTCCTATCTGCAAAATCTCAAGAATGCAACACACTTTGTTGCTAGTTCAGGTCAGACCTGATTAATTCTCTGGCTCGCTGCCACCAGCTGGTTTGATTTTGCTCATCCGCAGGTGTTTTGCTCTGCACCTGAGTAAGATTGCTGAGCTCAGATGTGCCCGAACAAATTGTTCCAAGGGGAATTACCAAACACAGTCGCAACCAAAATTGGACCAAACAAGACAGGTTTGAAAATGTAACACCATAAAAAACACCGATACTTGTCCACCATGTAAAGAATTCTTTGGTTTAAATTGTGATGTCTGAGGATGTCTTGTTTTGGTTTGGGAGCAGTTTCACCAGATCATTCTGGTCTCCCCCAGAGGCCCTGAGATTGCTGACTACCTGTTCTACACGGCTCAACCAAATTAGAAGCTTAAGTAAAATACAATAAAACCAACTGTAGTTAAGACTTCTACAACAAAATGGGGCTGTAGCTTAATAGATAGCTGAACTTAACTCACCCCTTTCTAGTATTATAAGCCAATCGCTTCAAGACACACTTCACTGATTCTCCCCTGTGAGTCACATCTTCCTCTCCTGCTGCCTCCTACTCTGCCTACTCTGCTCTGCACTCATCTGAAGTTGATAAAAAAAAAAACAACAAAAAAAAATCTTTCAGTGCACTCTTTAGCTCTTGTTTCTTTCTTTTACCTAACCCTCCTCCATTATTCAACGGTCACATTCTGTTACAACTATTATTCTAGGTCATGAATTTGTAGTCATTTTGTTGGCTCTTAAAAATCTCATGAATTTCTGATATTTACCCATGATAATTTAAGACGATTCCACTATTTGCCCACACAAACATAGATATATTTTATGAATTTAACCCACCTTGGTTGTCTTAACTTTGTTTCCTGTACTGCAGCTCCATCCTTTGAGATCCGGCAGCACTTTACACTCTTCCCCATCCATACAGGGATGCATCTGGCACCACCACTTCTGTGCAACTATGGATGCTGAGAGCAACACAGAAGAAGAAGAAGAAGAAAAAAAAAAAGAGTTTAAAAAAATAGGACTGAAAGCAATTAACAACAAGCTGGCTGAAGCAACAACAAGCACCTTCGGCTTCTATATACACGCCAGTGATTGAAGAGAGTGTCTTGATCTCTGGCTGACAGTGGAGACCTGTCAGTCCTGCCCTGGTGTGTTTCCAGGTCTGAATTACAGGCCATGGTTCAATGTCGAGCCGGTGAGTGTTGTGAGCAGCTGTGTTCCGTGTGAGGATGGTGGGTGTTTGTATGTAGGAGGAGTAAGAAAGCGTGCAGGAAGGCTGGCAAGTCAAGGTCTTATGTTGCTTCGAGGAGGCCTACAGGGGAGAAACAGCTTCCCCTGACATTTCTAAAGTGAAGAGAGAACTGTCAAAATCGAGGAAGCCCCTGTCAGAGCTATTACAGTGAAAAGACAAGATAGGGATCAATTCACCTGTAACTGAGGCCACTTTGGACATGATATTAAATGACCTGGCCTTCTGTCTACTCCACTGAACAAGTCTGATATGGACTCAACAACAGACAGGAGTAAATGAACTGGTGGGTAATTTGATTTTGAAGACTCTGAAGCCTTCGGGTCACACAACAGCAGCATCACAAACATCTCACCACCATATTTTTTCTTCTTCTTTCATACAATGAACCTCTGATACTCAAATGGTCAGCGAGATACGCAACAGAGGAGCAGTGACAGGTGTGACAGTTTTGCACCGTGCCACATTTCTACCCTAATCAGAAGTTGGTTTCATATCATTACCAGTACTGTAATGAGAAGCCTGGTATACCGTCTACACAAGATGGAGCCGCTCTTGTTGTTCCCGCCACCTGTCCAGGGAAGCAGGAGCATTTGACAGTCTGGGATCTCTCTTCGATCTTGTTCTTGTTGCAGCATCGGTGAGCAGCAATTACCTCACAGGTTCCTGCTTTCACATGAACTGGAAGCACAAATGTACACAATGGTTAGAGTACATCAGCAAACAGTAAACCCACGTTTCTTGATGTTTCTCACCAAAGCAACACAAGCACATAAAACCGAACTCTATGTGGTTTAGACACACTGTTTGCGCCCTTTCTTGCATGTGTTTATACATTTTTTTTTGTTTGTTTTTTTTGTTTTTTTGTAAATGATATGACTGGTATTATTTCATATATCTGAAGAGTCCAAATCACATTAAAAGATCAAAAGCAGCGATGCATTGCCTACTATGTTTGTGGTACTCCATGGCCACAAGCCCACAGTTTCCATCTAAAGACTTGCATTTTAAATTTGTCCCAAATACATAGTTTACTTCTTAATAGTAACTAAAGCCCTACAACAGACAGGTTCTTAAGCTTTTTGCTAACAACTCATGTAGGAGCAAATAGTTGAATTTGTTGTAGACTGTTTTGGAAATACAAATTAAAGAGTTTTTATGTAACAACAACAACAATAATAATAATATTCATTTCTTCTAAAGAATTTCTTGTTGTTTATTACCTATGGAACTGCCGTGATTATTCTTTTGAAAAATTATTATTCATGACTGGTTCCAGGAAGAAGTTGTTACTGGTTGTTGCTGAAGAAAACAATGTATTCCAGTGGTGCTGATTTAACTTTCTCTTTGGTTCCTTTTCTTTTCGATTACTACCTACTCTCCCACATATGTATTGTTTGAATGTTTCCCTTTGTTTTGTGACCGTCCAGTCACACAAAGAGGAACTATGTCAGAAATTAGAATCAAGCACACATTTCCAAGGAGGTCATTTTCACTCTGCATTTACACATATTTAACAGATATGCTGAAATATACAATCATAGAAGCTAAAATAAAATGATGGAAATTATTTAGTAGCGTGAAACCCATAGTAATAAACTGCACTGACATATGCATAGTAGAAAAGGTCATGGGTCAGCTTCATATTGTGACTCGTGAAACAGAAGATCAGCATATGCAGTCTGAGAAAAAGCTTCAATAGGGATGTTCTGTGAGCCCTCCATGTGTCAGTGGTAGGAGCCATTTTTCCCGCCTCAACATTCAAATCACACAATCTACCGAAAATAATGACGGTAAACAAAAGACTATGAAGATGATCACACACAATGTGGCAGTTCATGACAAGAGGTTAGAATCAGATGAGAATGAAACTTTGAGGAGACCTATGACACATGTTTGGCAGGATAAAGAATCTTATTTAAGCTGATGATTTCTGTGGTCATCATTTTAGCTCAGTTTGTTATAGGCTGCTCTGTGTGGCATCCAGTAAACCTGCAAGTGGACCAAAGATCACTGATACTACTCCATTTTCTTTCTTTTCTTAAATGTTTTATGATTATTTGCTGTTAGAGTAATCCAGGGAACATGCTAGTCAGATTACAAATTTACCACAGTGGCAGCATTACAATGTATTTAGGATCAGCTAAAATTAAAAAATAAATAAAAAAGACTCCAGTGCCCTCATTCACAGTGACGAATGAACCTAGTCGGAGATTTCTGGACAACAATAGAGGTTTATGGCTCATAAGAATAAAATAAAACAGCCTTGACTACATAGACGTGTTAGATGGATCACTTCATTGTTGGTTCTGCTCTTTCTTGGGGTTTGTTGAAATTCTATGGGAAAATGATCCTTTGCTGCTGGCCTCTTGTTTCCAGTCATTGCGCTAAGCTAAGCTAACCACTTGCAGGTTCTAGCTTGATATTTATTACACAGATATGAGAATTATATCCATTTTTCAAGAGAGCATATCAGTGTGTTTCCCAAAATGCCAACACGTTCCTTTAAACAGGCTGCACAGGCTTGTTTTGAACTGAATGAATTGTGTTGGCAATCATCCAGCCAATAAATCTATCATACTGCTCGTTTCTAATATGAATCTCCAATGTTCGACTCGTCCCACATTATGCAGAGATCCAAAGAGGCTATTCATACGGTGCAGAACACACAGTGCTGAGAAAATGTTCAACAGAGATGAAGATTGAGATTCCTGTTTTGTCAGAACATAAATCTGGCTCTACACAAGGTCGAACAAGGTTTCCTCGCTGGTGTGCTTCCGCGTCTCCTTTGGTATGAGGAGAATCCTATGAGGGTATTTGAGTAATTTCCACAGTGAAGTCTTGCTTCAAACATCCAAACACAATGGCTACTTGAAATCCAGGTCATCCCCCAGGTGGAGGAGCCCGGCTTTGAACCCCAGCGCAGCCCCACCTGTCCACACATCCTGGAGCAACATACTTAATCCACCGACCCTGTAACCCATCCAGAGGACAAAAAGAGAAGCTCTCCATAGGGGTCCGGCTAATGCAGTTAATTACATAACACTAAAAAAAAGCACATGGTTCAAGAAAATGACTTGATCAACATCTTTAAACTGCTTATTAATGTGAAAGAACGTCACAATATCAATTACAAGGACACTGTTTTCACTGCCATTAGGTGAGATCAAACATCAATACTGCTCCCTAGTTTATATTCATTACTTTTCTGCATAGACCTATCGCAATTCTACGCATGTTTGTGTATTTACACATAACAATCAGGATTGGATGAGTGGGGAAAAAATAGAAGAAAAAAAGCATTTGAAAAGTTTTGACATTCCCTTCAGATAAGCCTTAATTACGTCTGTAAAGATTTTCAATTTGGAACTTGACTTGAAAATAGATTGCAGCGAGCTTCCATCTTCCCATTAGCTAGCAATCCAGAAATCTCAACTACAACATTAAAAACATTTTGCTTCCAATCAATAAGGTGCTATTCACATTCCCACAAAAGCCAAGACAACATTTGCCGATTGAGTGCTTTTCACTGAGCAGAAACGTATTGATGCAAAACAGGTCAAGCTCCATGCCCTTGATGTGATTATCTTTAAGCCCCCAGCACGCCCACCTGTCAAAGTTAATTTCAAAAGTTGGAATAGCTTGGGTAGAATATTCAAACTTTGTTTAAGGGATACATGTGCGTGGACAATAGGCAATCACAAGAGGTGCAATAGGATAATCATTGTAAATCACCTGACTGTGAGGGGAAAAAACAAAAACAGTGTTTATCAGTGTCCAGAAAAAGCTTCTCAATAAGTAAAACAAAGAAGTACTAAGGTGATAGCTTTCAACACTCTCACAACTGAATAAATGCAAAACGAAAAAAAAAAATAAAGTGTCAAGGTCCAGACATCACACTCAAAGCCTCTAAAATCTCACTCTCTGCTTGTCTTAAATAATGATGCGCTTCATTCATAAGGTTTTGCCCTATGTACGCCTGCTGCTCCCAGATGTAAAATGGGGAAAGAAAACTACATCCTGGGCTGCGGCTGAGTCTGGCCTGGGACTGTGGACTAATCAAGGTGCAGGAAGCGGCCGGTCGGTGCTGCCCGTGCGGAGAGAACTGCTGATTAAAACTGGAGCCACTGGCCAAGGTCGCTGACTCTGAGGCTGGACCCAAAAACACCATGCAGTGTGCAGAAGATGAGAGGTCAGAGAGCAGAGTGTGGTGGTCACCCAAGTAATGATCCATATGAGAAGAATCAACCATGAACTGTCTGGCTACTGTTGTTACAGACTGGATATGGGGTCTGGGAGGTAATAGAAGCAGAGAAAGTGCATTAAATAACCAAGAGAAAAAAAAGTCATGATTTCTATAAAATCGTACAATCTTGAATTTATGGGGTTTAACATTCAGCAATGATCTGCTTGCTAGTTTTCTCCAGAGCACAGTCATCCATTCCAGTGGTGGATTTAGACCATTTACTTAAAACAAGGGTTGTACAGAAAAATGTGTCATTTTATCTGTTTCATATTGGTGTTGCTGTTTTCTGTGTTTACTCCGTACCACTGCTGTACTGATAATCTAAACACAGTATCTTTGCTGCTGCTTCACATTTAACGTATTCACCTGGGTAAACACTGGCAACCTTTATAGTGAAGCAGCCTTATTAAACACAGTATGTTTGTCACATTTATTAAAGCTGACAATGAGCAAAAAAAAAAAAAAGAAGAAGAAGAAGAAGACGAAGAAGAGATACAGGTATGGTTGAAAAAAAGAGATTCTTAGAATAATCCTGTATTATGTCCAAAAAGGTTATATGAAATGTCTTAAAATTGAGTTTTTCGTAACTGATGTTTCCAGGATCAAGAATGCTCTTTGATCAGGTCTTTTTTTGTATTTTCATTTAACTTAAAAAAAATTAATTAGTTTGAAAATGGCAGTGAAAATGGTTCATTTACTTGTTTACTTGCCCTTTTCTCAGCTTGCCCTTTGTTCAAAGACAAAGAAATATAAAATATTAAGTACAGAGGGTAAGAATAATAAAATAAGCGATATTAATTCATTTTTAAGGAGTATTTTTGGGAAATAGTTACTACCCTGTATGGTACATGACACAAAACTCTAACACCTTAGAAGTTCATTAATTAATATTCTACATAAGAGGACTCAGTGGGCCTATTGAGCACAATCGTAGATGTATATATTACAACTATCACTTTCTTTCAGTCAAACATAGACAAATGCATTCTTCACTGCTGCAGCTGAGGGCAGGTAAAAGGTCAATGTTTCGCTCAAGGACACCTCGACAGTGGTACGATGACCACTGAACCTTTGTTTCTGTTGTTGTAAAATGGTCTGTCAAACCACCAGGGTCACCCTGTCACTGTGTTCACAGTATAAACCAGTTCGAGTATGACATCAGCGGGAGCAGCTGAGTGTGAAAGTTGTAAAGTGTAACACATGGATGCAGGAGAGAGGCAGCGTGTTGTCTGCTCTGAGCATGAATATCCAGGTAGCAGCATAAATGGCTCATAAGCCCCCTGATCAATACATTTCTATTAAAGCACTTAGGACCGCCATCAGTTTGAATCAGCAGGCCCCCACGTCAGCAGGAGGGAGAGATGAGAGACAAAGAAAGGTGAAAGGACAGAGACCACTAATGAGAACTGGCACAAGGCTGAACCCTTCGGTCAAT